GAAACATTGATATTATGTGGAACGAATAATATTTTATTGAAAAATTTCGTTTGAATTTGCATTACGATGAAACGCCTTACAAAATTATCCACGGTTATAATCTGGAGCACAATGCTATATTGTAAAAAACTAAATTAATACAAAAATACCGCAAAAATTTCTTAAAATCTAATTATACATATATTGACGAATTCTTGAGAAAAGTAAAATTTTTGAAATTATAAGATAAAAATAAAAGATTTCTAACACAGTTTTTTTTTTGCTTATTTTTCATTCCTATAATCTTAATTGACACCAATTTATATTCATATGAGGATTCCCAAAAAATCCAATTTCACTTTAGAATATTATAATTGTTTCTCCCAAAATAGGAACAAAAAATGAAAATCAACAAGACTTAAGACAATTAAATTAATAAAAATTAATTAAATTCCCTTGCAAAGAAGCAAAACTATGAGTACATATAAGAATAATAACAGCAATATAACAGGCCTTAATATGTACAATTATATTCAAGCGTATTCGCTTAGGAAAAACGTTTAAACTTTTCCATTTTCATAATTAATATTCAAAAGAAAAAAATGTTTTTCTTTCTTACAAGACGGATCAAAACTTATTTTTATATTTGAAGTTTTCTTTTTACTTTTGGGTGAGGAGGTTATGAGGGATGCTCTATTAAATAAGAAGAAAAAAAGAACGTAGCTTTACAAAAGAATATTTTCATAAAAAGTTTTGATTAAAAATAGACATGAAAAAAATAAAAGCAAAAATGTTTTAGTCTATTTTACTGACTGTCGGTTCGTTGTTGTTGATTACTAACACGCATGTTTAACATCTCTTATAAAAAATATTTTGTAATCAAACTTGCCCTCAAAATTCCAAAACTTATTCTACTCTTAACTATGATTTTCTTAAAACACTTAGTGATAGTTGAAGGTTGTTGTTTTGTCGGAGTTGTATAAAATAAATGCATTGAACACAGTACACCTCAACAGTAAATAACTTGGTAGGGAGTGTACTGTCCGCCAAACTTGTAACTTTAATTTTCTTTATAGCGAATTTCAAAATGTATTATGCGATCCTTATTTTGATAAAGAAACAGTATAGTATATAGGAGCATAGAATTTTGTGGAAATAAGCATAAAGTAAAAGATTTACCCAATCTATCAAAAGCATCTTGCAATATATCTTCATATAGTAGATTTAAATTTTCTATTATCTGACATTAATCAATGTGATTTCAATAATTTCCACTTCTTATTTTCAGGTGTGTAGTTCAGTTTTTCTCAATTTCCTTTTAAATTGTTTAACATTTCAATTAAACCACAATTGTATTTACATATTCTATAATTTTACATTTAATGTACACATGGGTATAAAAAATCATTAATTTGCGTATTTAAGAAAAAAAAAGAAAATAATAAAACGTTTTCATATCATTCGTTCCACTGTCACTTTGCTATTTACTTTTCTTTTATAAAAATGAGTAAAACATGAGAATAATTTAAGAAATGGGGAAATAAAATTCTTAGACTTAACAGTTGTTTCATCCTTAGTTTTCGTAAATTGCCTTTTATTTGGATTTGTACATTCACAAATGTTTGTGTGTGAATTTTCTTTGTCATTTGAAAGGAAAATTCAGTTTTATTATTTTTAATTTTTATTACGTTCCCTTATTTTTCTTTCTGTTAATTCTGTGTTTGAAATCAAGTACTATGAAATTTAATACACTCATTACATTTAACTAGCTTTTTTCCTTTTTAAATATTTGTGTTAAATAAAAACCTTATTATTTCGAAATCATAATAACCTACCTATTGTGTCTGCGTATATAGTACGTTTATTATAACCATTACAGCTTCAAAGTGGTAAAAACATTTTGTATTTTCGTTTAAAATGTATTTTCGATTCACTTTTGCATTAAAAATTTTAATTTCTTATATTTATTTTCTTAAATTTTAGGAAGCGTTTCGAAACACAAAATTATATTGCAATTGCCTTGAAATTTTCTCGAAAGAATTATAATTTTTTTTAACTTTTATTCTTTATTTTTTATTTTTAAGCATTTTTAATAAGAATCGTAATAATAACTTTCAGTAATATTAGTTCCAGTTTCATCATGTACTCAAATAATAAAAAAATAAATATTGTCGCAAAAATTTAAGATATTTAACCCTCAATACGTTTTGTTTTATTAATGTACCTGATATGTGGTCGTCTTTAACACCATCAGAGAAATATTTTAATTTTTTATGAATAAAGTTTTTTACTATAGTGTTGTTTCTGTGATATTTCAAATATTTTTTTATTAAATAAAACTAAAATTAAACAATACTATTTTCTTCCAACTTCAGTTTTAATCATTTTGAAATTAAAAGTTAAATTTATAAAAAAAATTAGTAAAAGATAGCAAAAATTCAAATTATATAGCACATTATATACTGAGAAAGATTGCACAAAGTGAAATGAAAACAATAATTGCGTTTTCTTGTGAGTGATAGAAAAAAAAATTGCGGGTTCATTTTTACCACCGTATGACAGTTAAAGGTTGAGAATCTCTTTAAAATAAAAGTTAATTAGAAGATAAAATTTGCATTAAACTCGCAGTTTTTATTCTTAATCAAAGGTAATCAGATACAATATTCCCACTTTTACCTAATAAAGTTCCGACAATGGAATTATGAAATATAATTTACTGCAAGCACTACATGAAGCCTTATGATTTCTTCATAAATTTAAAACTGACGATTAATTGAAGAAATTTTAGAATAAATTAAAAATGTTCACTGCGAATTGCATAGAAAAAATTTAATGTAATATAGCTGGCTTTTTAAACACTGCCGGAGTGTTTTAATGAAATTATTCTAAATCTTAAATATCGAACATTTCTGGGTTATCCAATATTTGTACGACATCATAATTTGGAAAGCATTATTATAATTTCATTTGTATGTGTATACTGCTTAAATTTAATTCAGACTTATTTTATTACTTTTCCGATTTTTGCATTACAAAAATCTATATTATATTGTACGCGTATGCAAACAATTTCATTCATTTTTACACATATGTAAATGGTATGTATGCCTACATACTTAAGTATCTGTTAAAATAAAATTTTATATTCAAACAAATGTTTTCCCTGATTTCAGTTCAGTTTCAATTTTCATCATATTTTTCTTAAGCGCTATTTGTTTTGTCTTTCACAAATTCAAATACATATATGAAAAATTTCTTCAACATCACCAAATTCTTTTTTTTCCTATTGCGAATATACTATGGAATACTATACAGATTAGAATGTGCGATTATTATTTTAGGAATTCTCCTAATGATAGGAGCGTTTTGAAACACAAAATAATATTATAATTATTTTATTTTCCCATACGTGTATTTTAATCCTTTGCATTTGTTTTGAAGAAAAATTTTAATTTTTTTATTATCAATTGTACATATAGATACATAATTATGTACAAACATAAATACATATGTCTTCTTAGCACTTTTCCAAAAATTTTTTGAAAAAAAGTGCTTATTAGTTTCACTCTGTCCGTCCGTCCGTCCGCCCGTCCGTCTGTCCGTGTGTCCGTATGTCTGTTTACGAAACTTCTATGCCCTTAAAGATAGAAAGCTGAAATTTAATACGTACATAGGTCTGTACTAGAAACTTATTTCCGTAGAACAAAATTTTTACTGATCTCCCCACCTCTAAAAGTTATATCCCCCCCAAAACCCTAAAAATGGCCTTTTTTATCTATTTGTTGCAATGAAACCATAAGAATTTTTTAAATTTTGCAAACGAAGAAAGGCAGTGGCTTGCTTCCCCTAGCGCGGTATACTATAAATTGCATGCCATTAAAAAATATAATTATTTTTCTTTACTCACACAATTAACCCTTAAAATCGAGCATTATGTTAACCCCACTTTATATTAATTTTTGCTTTATTTCAAAGACTGCATAAATCGTTCATCCCAAATATATGCAATCCTAGACATAGTTGTGTATATGAATGAAAATAATTTTAGTTGTGTGACAGGCATACATAGAATGTATTTGAAAGCAGAATTTTCACTTGTTGAAGGAAAAAGTGCTACAATACAAACCGTTGGTTTAACACAACTTTATTAACCTTCCTTCTTATAGTTGTCTTTACTGTTTTGTTTGCTCTATTTCTTTAAATGGAAATAAAAACTCAAATTATACAAGTATAAATGAGTGAATTAGTGAATGACAAAAAAAATACATAATATAAGTATCTGTATCTATGAGTGGTGTCAAAGCAAAACGTTTTATGTCGACTTAAAAGTTGATATTTTTGATTTACGTTTTCAATGTCTAATTAAAAATTGGAAAGAATAAATAAAAACACTTAAAAAAAATTTAACTATCGTTTTGCAAAATTGTAATTGTTCAACTTAAGAAATTTTGCCTTGTGGTAGCAAAAATTCAAGCCGGTATGATTGTTTTATTTTTTGCAGTTGGAAACGCACTTTCATTATTTAGATCTTAATTGAACACATTACACACAAAAGCCTCGAAAATTTTCACACGCATGAGAAGCACTAGAAATTAAGCATTTTGCACATACGAGTACATACATTAACAAATTTTATAGAATAAAAGTTTTTCGTTTCACTGATGACAAAAGGAATCATGTCAATTTGGTAAGTAATTCTGACAGAAAACAATTTAAAAATTCGTATAATGCTATAATATGAGAATATTCTTGTATTCTTACGTTATTATAAGGTCTGACAAACTTTAATTCATAAATTTTTTACACCTTTTTTATAAGACACGCAATAGTTATGACATGTTTATGACTTAAATGTGCTAACTTAAATCTCATAGCTTTGATTCGAGTTCATTACATAAAGCGTTTATCAGAATTAATCATTTATTTCGATGAGCTAAAGTGCTAAAGCTGTTTTTTCACTCCTGAAGGATCTAGCTAATGATTCTTCTTATTGTGCAACAATCATGATAATACATGTATTATTATGATCCTTGAGATGTTTGTAAGAACGGAGTATCAAATTTATCATCATTTTCCAAAACGGGTGTAAAAATTTGCTTATACTGTTATCATTATATATAAAAAAACGTTTACGTTTATCTTGTATACAACGACAGTAATAATAATAACAATAATAATAATTATAATAAGTATTTAGTGTAATGTGAATAATTCTCAAAAGTTTTTGTAAAAATTAGAAAAATAAGTAAGAAATCCTTTTTACTAATTTTTATTGCCGTTTTGAAATAAGTAACTTTTTGATATTGTACAAGTTTTTACAAGAATTAAGAAATTTAAGTTTTATCGTAAATTAAAATGTTTAATTGCAAAATACGAGGAGTCTGTGTGTTATAATTCTTTTCAAAAGAATATAAACTTCACTTACAAAGGGAGGAGCATTTAGTGAAATAATGTTATACACTGAAAAAAAAAATCAATAAAACATCCAAATGCGTTTATAGCGTTGTTTCATAGTTTTAAAACTAAAATTGCAAGATTCGCGCGAAAAGTTTTATATTTCATTAGGCTGCAATATAATGTATAGCAAAACGATAATAGCAGTGTATGACAAGAAAAATCATATTGTTTACAAAAAAAAATCTAAAATTGTAATAATTCTAAAAGAAAATTTGAAATTAATAATCAAACTTTACTTTGAAATTAATAATGATTTTTTTATATTAAATTTTCACTTTTTAGCTAAAATAGCAATCTTATAGCGCAACTTGTGTCATTTATACCATGTTGAACATATACTTTCATAAGTTTTGGTGAAAAAATTTCGTTTGCAACATTGCAAATTTTGCCATAGTAAAATATCAGGCATTGTTGTGGTTGTATAGTAGAACACCAATTAATCATATTCTAACATTTACGAATATAAAATAGCAAATTCGGTTTAGAAAAAATGGCAGTTTTAGCTATGTTTTGTAGCAAAAGGTTCTATATTTCTCATTACCGGGTGAACAAATCTAAATTTTACATTAATATACAAATATTTATTAAAAATGTTTTTAAAAATTTCAAGTAATTTCAAGTTGATCATAACCGATTTCTGGGATATGACCAAGTAGCTTTTAAATACTTTTAACATTAACCGTAACGATTTTTATAATTTGAACTACTTTTGACAAAATAATGGCATTGTTACAATATTGGTTTGTGCAAAATTTTGGTTCTGCCATGTTAATAGACTGCAAGATAAATAAAAACAAAATTTGAAATTGGATTGAAGTTAGTACAAGAATTTACTGAATAGCAAACTTTTTTGTTAAAAATAATAACTTTATTAACACGTTTGTAGAAATTTTGCCTTATGTAATGTAAACTATTTCTAATATATAATAAAGTTGGGTCAAACCAATGGTTTGTATTGTAGCACTTTTCCCTTCAACAAGTGAAAATACTGCTTTTAAATACAGTCTATTTATACCTACCATACTATTAAAATTATTTTCATTCATATACGTAACTATTTCTAGGATTGCATAAATTTAGGATTAACGATTTATGCAGTCCTTGAAATAAAGTGAAACTTAATTTAAAGAGGGTAATTAACATAATGCTCGATTTTAATGGTTAATTGCATGAGTTAAAAAAAATAATTATATTTTTTAATGTCATGGAATATATCGTTAGCTTTTAGCGTTTACAGAAATTTGAAAAAGCTTGCGGTTTCGGAAATATAAGGCGTCAAAAATTAAAATTTTACAAATTTCAAGAGGCGATAACTCGAGAGGGGGTGGAGATGGAAAAAAATTTTCTTCTAGCAAAATGAACTACTTATTAATATCTAAAAGCTCCAAGTCTAAAAATTTCAAGCTTCTGCAGGCAGAGGTCTAGAAGAAAAACGACATCAAAAACTTGGAAAAAAAGGACTTTAGATAGCGGTAAATTTGAACGGCCATTTTGTTTTTTTAAAGTTTGACTATAGTGTGCCACGATTGGAGAAGCAAGCCGCTGCCTTTCTGCGTTTGCAAAATTTGAAAAATGCTTATGGTTTCACTGCAACAAATAGTTAAAAAATAGCATTTTTAGGGTTTTGGGGGGTTATAACTTTTAGAGGGGGGGAGATAGGTAAAAATTTTGTTCTCCGGAAAGTGTCTAATAAAAATCTATGTACATATTAAATTTCAGTTGTAGAAGGGTGTAGAAGTTTTGTAAACAAAAAAAGTGTCCACAGACGGACAGAGTGAAACCAATAAGCACTTTTTTTCAAAAAATTTTTGGAAAAGTGCTAAAAAACAAGTTCTGAGGTAGTTATTTTTTAAATTTTAATTGAAAATTACAAGTGGAATTTTGTAATGACCGAGGCTTTTATAACAAAAATTTATATTTCGAAATTTATAATCATCTATAAGTACACAAAATTTTGGTCGTAATTTACAAATGAAATATTTTTAGAAGTACAAATAGAAATTCATAATTGATCCGAATATAATATGTAGACACATAATAAAATTTCTCAACCTAATTATTGTTAAAAAAAACAGTGTTGCTGAAATTTTTTTCTGGTTTAGTTCATAGTATTAATCATATTTCAGATTACAATTTTAGTTGATTAGATTGAATTTAATTACTTAATTTAAAAGAATCTGAAATTGATTACTAAGCTAAATTTTATTCAAAAAGTATTTTAAATAAAATATGTTTTTTGTACAAAAACCAAATTTGCAGATATAATGATGAATTTTCTCCAAAGTTATAGGTGCAGCAGCATTTTTGTGTCATAACTTATGTTATTTGTAGGTGTCATGAACACCAGTTAATTATGAGGCAATATTTACCTGTAATAGTAAAACTATTACAGGTAATAGTAAAATAGTTTTACTATTACAGGTAAATATTGTAATAAAATAGCAAAACTTGTCCACAAAAGTAGTGAATTTCACTATCTTTTGAAACAGAATTTTGTATTCATATCACTTTGCAAATTTATACGAGTAATAGAATTTTGTGATATTGCATGGCGAATTCTGCCATGCAAAAAAAGTCAGCTTGCAAATTTTTTGTGCAAAGTTTGACATATTGTATAGAAGTATGTATTGATATTAATTTCATTTTTAAATTAAAAATGTATATTTAATAAAATTTAAATATAATTATTAAATTAAATAAAAGATATTAAACGTCTTCCGATTTTTTGTAAGTCATTTTACGTATACTCGTATATGTTATATGGATTTTAAACGAAAATTTTCAAAATTGAAAATTATTTAAAATATTGGAATATGTAAAAATTTATCTAGTTGATTCAATAAAAAATTACAAATTCTCCCCAAAAATTAACAGAACATATGAAAAAGAATTAGAATGTGTTGTAGTAGATTCAGAACTGAAAAGTATCAAGAGCTCAAGAAAAACAAGAACTTTATTTTTGAAAAAAATTAGAGAAAACTTATTGGAATTAGAGAAGTTATTTCATGAATATTTTTTAGTTTTAAACTTGAATAAATATTTTAATATATGTACATATGTGTAAAATATTTTAATTACTCATCGGCTATAATTTTTTTTTGACATTTAATAGGAGTTTACTAAGTTTAGTATTTTACCTAACCAATATAATGAAACTTAGACTTTACGAATTAGCGTTTGAAGAGGACTCCTATCATCGAAAATTATCTCCTATCATAAAAAATGTGAAATATATTAAGTTTAACAAACATATTTTGTTTTTCAATTTTTTCAGTTTTAAGCTTTAAAAAGAATGAAACAGCATCTGCATTTTCTTCATATTTCTATATTCCGTTGGTTTACCTTTATATCTAAGAGCCGAATATTTGAACATAAAATCGATTAAAAAAAGTTAAATTTAATCTAATTGATTTAATAAAAATTTATTATTTGTAAAATACCAGCAATTTAAATATTTTCATTTGTTTTTTTTTACCATTAACAATTTCTTAACAATTAAGAATTTAGATGCCATTGTTTATATACATCTGTGGAAAAATAATTTGGACATTCTTCAAAAATGTATGTACCAGATACAAACGCCAAATGATATGAAAAGAATTATTGATCAGCTTAAACGCACTTTAGCGAATTGGAAAAGTATTAATTTTTTACAAATAAAATTTTTTACATTTTTTAAATACACTAAATTTAAATTTTATAATTTTTTTTAAATATCTTAGTGTTTATTATTTAATGAAACATATTAAGCTTATTGGTTCGATATTGTTAATAATGTATGTATATTTATATAATTAGATAAAATAAAATATTTCAATGAATTTAACAAAGATTTAATGCCTACTTTTATTTTAAAATTTTATTTTTTCAGTGTACTTGGGGTATATTGCAAATTTCGGTGAAATTTTTAGTATACCCCAAATTATTTTTCGGATATTAATTGAAAGCATGTTTGGAAATTTTACTTTCCATTTCCAATCAACCTTCAATTTCAATTTCTATTGAAATTTAAAATTTAAAATATAAATAGGCGCTATTGCGACATTGCAAATATGAATAGGCGCTATTTAGCATGAGACATTGCAAAAATTGCAATTGTTTTTAATAATTTTCTTTAACATATATCAAAGAAGACAATATTAAATTTTCTTATTATAAAATTTAATTGTTTTAGAAAATAAGAATATATTAAACCTTATACGTCAATATTTCCAATATAATTTATAGTAGAGTTTGACATGAGATATTTCAGAATTTGAAAGGGCAATTGGAAAATTCCTTATATCACAAGAGAATTCAGCACATTCTCTATTTAGAATTTTAGTATTTAACACCACTATACCGATATGAGCTATTTTTTTTGCAAATAGCATGGCAAAAATATGGCTGCTACCGCAAATTTTTTTTCAGTGTACAATTTCGATTTAAACGAACTATTACGAACACATAAATATAATAAGTTTAAGGAAATTAATAAATTATTGTTTCGTCGTATTATACGAGTACTCTGCATCTTAGTAAAGGATATATTAATTTAAAAAAAAGTTCTAAATATTAATATATTTTAGTTAATATTTGCGATAGTTGTATATGTTTTTTAATTCCGAAAAATTTAAAAACAACAAATCCCAAACCTATTTTGGTA